TTATTGCCATTGTTGTCATTATGGAGCTATTAACTGATATTAAACGTCTTAAACTTTACTGGGTGGTAACTATCTATCACAAAAATACTTTTTTGAAAAATTCATGATGAGTAGAGGCAAACTGAGATCAGATCCGGTTTTGCGGACATGGAAGTGCCATGGTTAAGTCCGTTGCGAATGACTTTTTTCATTTGTGGGTCAGTGTAAAATTTTTTAACTTCAGCAGCGTTGAAAACCAATATCTTAGAAACCACTCAATTTTGGAAGTTACGGCTATTGAGTTCTTTCTTTGCTAGACCAAGTACTATAACTTTTCACACTTTCCAAACGTGGACATTGTGGGCCCAAAGTCCCATAAGACTTTGACACCCTTCTTTTGATAAAATACGTTACATTCATATTTATTAAGGTTTATTCCAATAAAACATGAAAAGACTGAAGAAAAATCTGAATGTTTTCCTATTTTTCAGATTTTTTTCTCCCAAATTTTAATTCTCTAATTCTGACAGGGATTTTGATACAGTAACTTAAAGCCAATTTATAAACTTTTTAACAACTATATAAACTGACTTTAAATAATGTGCGGACATCACAATCTTATCTTATTACTAACTAAACATTCGGATATTAATTATGTCATTCTTGGTACTGATATTAATAATCTAATTGTGGTTTAAACAGGAACATTCACTTTGATAAACTTCTACACTACTGCTGTGGTTTATACTTGTAAAGACCATACTACCCAAGGTCAATTTAATTACAGGAAGAGAAAGTGTATTTACTATACAAACTGTTTTTCTGTTCAAATATGTGAAAATAACATTCTCTCGCGGAAATCTCCATTAAAAGAAATGATGAAAATATTTCACTTGAAAATATAAAATTTATGAAGTTTTTAATTAAATCACCAAAATAACTAAATATTCATGAAGATAAAACATATTAATATCGGAAAAAAACTGATTTTTCGTATTGATTTGGTAATATATTTCCTATCTTTCGAGATAATCCAATAAAGATATCATTTTATAATAAAAAAATTCCGAATAGGATGATTTTTTCAGGGTTGCTTGGGGACTGCCTCCTGAGTATCCAATCAAAAGATCACACTCGAACTCCTGGTATGACTTATTGCGCTATGGGGATGCTTTCTTAAATATTTTTTTAGAGAAAAATGACCTTAATAAAAGTTGTAGAGAATCAAATTCTGAATAACTTCTCTATATAAAATTGTTTGTATCTCTAATACTTAACGAGTTACTGCGCATTATATGACAAAAAATTCGTTTACCACAGGACTGATCTGGTAAACACTTTTTTTAAAATAACTTTAAGGTTGAAAAGGAGTACCTAAATGCTCTACAATTTTGCTTTATAAATTTTTTTATTGTCTCGACTACTTAACAAGTTATTAGTCCAATCAATATGTCACGGCCTGATGTTAAAACAAAAGATACCACCTGGAAACAAAAAATATGGTGATGCAGGAAAAAAATTCTAAGAAAGATAGTGTTTTTTTTCCTTTGGCGCATAAACGGTAAAGTTAATCTAAAAAATTTATAAAAGTTAAAATACGGTTTTTCGCTAATAAAAGAGAATTGAACTCCAATCGAAAAAAGTCAAATGAAAAAGTTGTAACTATTAAAAAAACCTATAGATTCGTATTTTTAAATATATGATTGCTATATTACTTTTCGAGATATATCGAAAAAACCGTCAAAAATCTACTTTTTTGTTTTTGCTGTATTTCTTGCAAATTAAGGTTTGTAAACTTGTTATTTGCTGTAAATGTAGCCCTCGGCAAACAAAAAAGTGCCTTTTTTAAATCAAAAAATATTAAAAATTTTTCGAGTGAAGTATATCGATTTTTCGAAAAAAAGGTTATCTCGAAAATGGGCTCTTCTTGCTCGACGAATAGTCATAGAGAAACGAATCAGGGCTAATTTCCTTAAGAGTTGTACTTTCACGGTAAAAAGAGTGATAACGATTTTATTCATTTCAAGTGTCCAAAAATGACTGAAAAAAGTAAAAATTTTTTGGCCGCGTTTTTCTTGAATATCTTTTTCGATTTTCATTACTCGATAATATCTATTATTGGAATCGACATTTTTACGCGAATTTAAAAAAAAACGTTGCTCTACGACCTTCTGGAGCCGATATTTTCTTTTTCAAAAAATTCCACGGACCGCTATTGTGCATACTTACAGAGACTGTAGTTGAAGACTTTTATTTATTTTCAATAAAACAATACTGTGGTGCATTTATTGCTTAATTCACGATCTGCATGAAAATAATCAACTCAGTTCTCTTTTGCAGAAAGGATCAGGTGAACTCAACTCTTTCTCAACATGTCGTCCGGATCGATGTATGAAATATCATCCTGCATGCGTGATGTACTGCCTTCGAGGTCGTTATCAATATCATCATCATGGCTGTCATTTCCAAATTCAGAAAATGGCAATGGTTGTGCTTTGCCGCAAGTCTCGCCAGCGCAGTGTATGCAGATTACGGTGCACCGCAAACCTGATTTTCGGCAACCACAAGCTGTTCCACAGGGTGTACCGCATTGACATGGAATAAGGTCTAAAAGCTCTGATGGGCTGGCTCTTTTTTGGTTCTGCAAAAACACCACTTGAGCGTGCGCAACTTTTTTCATATAATCAATCATATACTCGTTAAGTATTAGAGATACAAAAAAATTTTATAAGAAAAAGTTGTTCAGAATTTGATCCTCTACAAGGAGGTCATTAAGGTCTTTTGCTCTAAAAAAATGTTTAGGAAACTACCCCATAGCGCAAGCCATACCAGGAGTTCCAGTGTGATATTTTGGTTGGATACTCAGGAGGCAGTCCCCAAACAACCATGAAAAAATCATTCCGTTTGGAATTGTTTTTGCGAAAGCTTTGCTGGACCCCTCGGTCATGCTATGTTTTTTTTTTTTACTTCAAACCGAGATTTAAGTATAAAATAAGACTTAAAAATGAAATTACTGAATCTTCAGATGAATAAAACTGAAAGAATATTCGTAAATACAGATAGTATACATAATAATATACAGGTTTATCCAAAAATCCCGGTGCGGCAGAAAAACTTTCGAAGAAAACACTGGGAAAAAATGTTTCAGACAAAAGTGTAAGAATTTTTCCCTGGCTATCTGATGGTGACCTTGGATTTGACCTCGACTTAACTAGACCTTCAAGGTCATTTGAAGTTCAAGTTAAGTTTTTTAAATGGAAACCCCTTTTTTAATTGCGGATTTGGAAAGAGCAGGAAATCTTACGTCCACTATGACTTTGGCAATGACCTTTAAGGTCAAATGTGGGTCGACTTCCAAAAGTCCCGGTACGGAAGAACTTTCGAAGAATGCATTTTGGGAAAAAATGTTCAAGACAAAAGCGTAAGGATTTTTCCGTGGTGACCTTGGGTTTGACCTTGACTTTGACCCTTTGAAGGTCATTGTCAGTCATGGTCAAGACCATCGTTGGACGTAAAATTTCCTGCTCTTTCCAAATCCGCAATAAAAAATAGGGGTTCTCATTTAAAAAATTTAACTTGACCTTCAAATAACCTTGAGGGTCAAAGCCAAGGTCAAATTCAAGGTCACCATCAGATAGCCAGGGAAAAATCCTTACACTTTTGTCTGACATTTTTTCCCAAAATGCTTTCTTCGAAAGTTTTTCTGCCGTACTGGGACTTTTGGATAATCCTGTATAATTAGGTATACAATCTATTTCGCTTTTTATGGCTTATATTCTCTCTTCTTTGAAATCCAATCGTGTTAACAGGACGAAATACTCGTAATTACCTATATAGCGATTATTCACGTATAAAGAAATTTTATTGTAGTCATAGGCGTCGGATTTTAAAATTATAAAAGGGATAGGCTTCGAAAAAATGTATATATTAGACTTTCTTTTATTTAAAATTTAATACAATTACAAGGTGATCAAATATTTAGCTCTTTTTTTACTATTGAGTAATTAAAAACTAATAAAGTTAGAGAAGCTTTTCCATTTACTTTTTATTTTTTATAAAGCTATTCAAATCTCGAGCAATTGTTGACAATAATTTATCTTAAGCTCTATCTTTAAGATTTTCACATTTGAAAATATTTAACAGAAAATACGCGGCAAAAGAACATACAAAATAATATAACATCCATTTCAATTAGCCATGTTCCATTTTTCTATACATTTTTCAACCTTTTTATTACCTACTTCTTTTTGGTTTAGTAATTTTTTTCACCTAATTTCGTTATCTAAATCCTTTCTAATACGAATCTTATACTTACAAACTTTCACAATAGCGCTCTAGAAATGGACATAATTATTTAGTTATTTAATGTTTATATTTTCAATAAATATAACAATATTAATTTTTTTAAAGGCTAGATAAAAAAGTTTTTCCGGGATTTTAATAGCTTACTATAATACAAAATGTAAAAGGAAAGCTTATCTAACTTTAAAAGTTTTTAAATTAACGATTACGTTAAAAACTAAATGTTTGGACATCCATTTCCTGACTACATTTAGACATATTTTTTCAAATTTGTCGCAGAAGGGCTTCTAGGTATGCAAAATTAGAACACATTATTAACTTTTAGATTAAAAAGGCTAATAAATATTGTTTTAAAAGTTAACCCTTTTTAGTTTTAGAACCGGACGTCTATGACTAAAAGTAGATTTAGTTACACCAGAATAATCGCTTTACATGTAATAACCTCGTCCTAAAATGTTAAAACGTTTCAATATAAAATAACCGAAATATGAGGGTGGCTTCATGAAAAGTGAAAAAGTGTAGGTATATATATTTTTAAACATGCCTAGCTAGGCCGCTGATTTCAACAGGTAGATGTAACTCTATAATTTAAATGTACGTTAGAAACCCTTTGGTCATTATTATTGCTCACAAACCAAATCTGTCAAACCAATAATTTGTTTAATTCAGCGTCAAACGTCAAAGTTTTAGGTTAGGTAAAAATAAACAAATCAGTTTACCCCAATTCTTTGGAGTCCGTCCAAGGCACTGTTTAGACTGCGGATCATAAATAGCTCTCTGAAAGTTTTCCCATTTAGTTCTATTTTCCGGTCTATGAAACTGAAATTCCACTACACCATTGTCGTTCTTAGCCATCCTCTCCAGTAAAATAAAATTACACACAAACGGCGACTGACCTAACTTGATATGCTTACTAACCGGCGTATTATCACTGTGCACTAGTGCACGCCGCACAGGTTACCGCGTTCCCGTTGACGTGCGGCCAGAAGGTGAGCGAAATGGAAACGCTGCTCAGTTTGAAGTTCGTGCTTCAACTGGCTCGAAACTTCGACGCGACGACCGACACCGAAACAGAGCGTGCTGGATGTACGCATTGGACACGCGTCTGCTGTTTGATCGTAGACTCTCGGCAGATAACGATTTACTGGTTTATTTATCCACAATCTGAATAATAAAATAACAGGAAATTAGCGAGTTTTCCATTATACAATCTATAATTACATTTAAATTATCAGGTGGGGCATCGTAAAATAGAATGTAGGTAGGTACGCCTTATTTTGTCACAGAGACAGATATCATTGTCACTTTTGGATTAGTCTTATTTCTTGATCAGCGAATCTTAAATCAGCTGTAGACGATACCAGTAACTTCCCAGGTATAACAATCGTGTGCAATTCTAATACAAGTAGTTTCAAGTTTACTTGAAATACCCAAATTGTGTCAGACTGTTTTGTGTCTATTGTTGACATTTATATCGTTTCTTATGCAAGATACTTTTACAATACTTGCACTAGACTTAACCAAAAGTACTTGAGTCCAAAGGGGTGAATTAGTATAAGTCAAGTACAATACGTCTTACTTAATTCTAATGTAAGTCTGCAACATAGTCACGTGCTTTAATTTACCCCTTTGTGCTCAAGTGTCCTGAATCAAATCCATTGAAAACTTTGATCAAGACAATTGCACAATGAATCTTGTAGCAAACCTGATGCTGATTTCAGCAGTAGGTACACAACAGTCTTGTATAAGTGTCTTGTGCAACATTTTGCTACCAGGGTTGTATAAGTTACTAAAATCCAGAACAATGGATTTCAGTACTTGCCTTGTCTAAATATGTATTTTAGTACAATAAGATCGTATTTTTTACACCCTGTATTAGGGCTCTATTTTAAATTATGGATTTTAAGTTAGAAATAAAGCACATAGCCACCTTGACGGAAACGTCTGGTGTTTATAAACAGTTCAAGTGTTGTTTATGTTACAAATTCCAAAGTGTCCTACCCTTTTGCATGTAAATTGTGTCACTTGAGCTCATTCAGTAATATTTTATTTATAATTTTTGAAATGTTCCCAGCTCTTTACTTAACTATTGTGCATTTGCTTTAACTGAGCCTCAATTCATTCAATTTAATTCTAAGGGATTCGTCTTTACCAACGATATAGCAAAAGGCATTTTATTTGTCCTTCTCTTAAAAAAGTGATTAAAGTGACATATACTTGTAATCACAGAGGAATTTCCTTATTGTGTAATCTTCCTAAAATATTTGAGACTGGATTTATGCAAAGGAAGTCTATAGTCTACTCTTCCTGTTTCAGCATATTTCGGAAGTCACAAATAGTAGTTGTCGTAATATCTACGGATTTTGAAAAAGAATTTGATCAAAATGATCACAACGTTCTGCTGTTAAAATTAGAACGGTTTGGTTTTTCTAATGCTTTAATGTAAGTATCTTTATCTTACTTATAGTCAGATATCAAACCTTTTTCCGATCGTTTTTTTCCAACCCAACTCCTTGTTAATGACTTTAAATGACAATTTAAGATTGACTCCCGCTGACTGCCATCACCTGCAGCAATGCATAAATCACATGACATGACCATGTGGTGTAATTTAAATCATCTCAATCTTAATATATCAAAATGTATATGCATGACTTACACACGAAAACTAATTTTATTATGATTATTTCATTAGTGATAATGGCATTAGTCGAGTCGAGTACTTTAAAAATCTGGGAATAACTTTTGGCAGTAAGTTTACTTTTACATAACACATTAACAATACAGTATCAAGTGCCTTTAAATTATACATCATTATTATTACAACTTGTTTCAACATTTTCCGTCAGCACCTAACCCTCTAAATATATGGTGAATATGGTCGATAACCTCAATATAATAATACAGATGGGACGTCGAACTGAGTAGACGTACTTGAGGTGTGTACGGCTGTCAGTGTTATATTCGCGAAGAAGCCAAGTTAACTCTAAAATAATTAAATCCGTCTGTGTGACTATACATCAGCATAATGTCCTCTGATAGGGCGACAAGAACTACTAAAAGTAAACAAGTAAAAGTGCCTGAAGTTTCTGAATCTCTTAGTGCAGCCATTTCATCAGTACTAAATTCCAAAGAATTTATTGAGAATATCACCTCTATTGTTTTGAAAGCTGTAAGTACCAAGTTGGATGATTTTATAAAATTGCAACGTAATACCATCAAAAAGTTAGTTGATGATAATACAACACTTCATGAAGAAAATAAACTTTTAAATTTCCGTCTGGATTGTACAGAGCAGTACTCGCTCCGAAACAATCTGCGAATTATTGGGCTACCTGAGAAAAATAATGAGTCTATTGAAAAGAATGTGATAGAAACCCTAAATGAGCATCTCAGTATCAATCTGGATTCCAACAGTGTTGAAAAATGCTACAGAATTGGTCGCCGAGGAACCACAAATAATAAAAAGCCTAGACCAGTGTATCTAAAATTTTACAATTACCAGCAAAAGAAATTAGTATTTCAAAACAAATCCAAATTAAGGTCAACTGGAATTGCCATCAAAGAAGATTTGACTGATCGCCGTTTCAAAATTTATAGGTATGCTTGTGAAAAATTCAGTTATCGCAATGTGTGGACTTATGATGGAGTTGTGTATGCCAAGTTGGGGAACAAAATTATTAAATGCAGGGACTTCAGTGATATTGGCGATAGTAATATTCCTGAGAATTGAGGTGTGCCTGTAAAGTCTGCCAAGTCCGATACTGTGGCCTGCCTTTCATATGTTTTTTGATGCCGTACACATTTCTTTAAATGTACATTTTTACCTCTGGTAATTATCTCATTTTTTCTTTATTACAATACTTTTTGTCTTCTTTTTATTGATATTTAGGTTTTAAGTTAATTTGTAAACTATAGATAGATACTGTTATTAAAATTAAATGACGCAGAATTATATAGAATTAGGCCATATAAACGTTCGCTCACTTGTTCCAAAGATTAATGCCTTTAGAAATTTTATAAAGTCTAAAACCTACGATGTTTTTGCCCTCAGCGAAACATGGCTTAATGATGCTGTTGTGGATAATTTATTGAATATTGAAGGCTATTCCATAATTCGGAAGGATAGGCTGTGTAGAGGGGGTGGTGTGGCCTTTTACTTACAAAGCACATACAAATATAAAATTATCAAAACTAGTGACAATATTGAACAGCTTTGGATATCTGTAACTATCAAAAACAATGTTTTTGTATTTGGCGTATGTTATAGACCCCCAAATATGAATGTAAAAGTATTTACAGATGAACTTGAAGTATCATTATCTATTTCCATGCAGTACAGCGAAAACATTTATTGTCTTGGCGATATTAATATAAATTTTTTAAAGCCAGAGTTATCTGGAACACAATATTTTTTATCTATGCTTGAATCAATTGGTTTTCAACAAATTATCAACGAAGCTACGCATTTTTCTAACAGTGATCCGTCACTTCTTGATGTTATAATTTGCAGCGCATGCAGCAATATTAAAACAACTCAAGTTGGTGGTTTGGACATCAATTCAGATCACGAACTTGTTTCCTGTAAAATTAACACTGATAAACCAACATTTGTTCAGAGATATTATACTTTTCGGGACTTCAAAAATTTCGATGAAAATTTGTTTTATACTGATATACAAGCTTTGCCACTGGATAATTTATATTACCTTGTTTCTGTAGATAGTAAAGTAGAATTTTTTAATAACTGTTTATTGGACGTTTTTAACAAACATATCCCTCTGAGAACTGTGCGCATCACCAAGAAGAAGGCTCCATGGGTAACTGATAATATCAAATTATTAATGAGTCAACGAGATAAGGCACGGGCTGCTTTTAAAAAATCTCCTCTTCAGACTAAATGGGTCTATTATAAACAAATTAGAAATGTGGTAAATCAAGCTGTGCGTGCAGAAAAACGATCGTATTTCAATTACATTTCTAGAAATAAAAATTCTAATTTACTTTGGGCTGAATTAAGAAAGCTAGATGTAATAAATACAAAACCTGTACTACCTTATCACCTTTCAAATCCTGATGAAATCAATAATTTTTTTTTAGATAATATTCCTCATCAAAATGTTTCCCCCGACTATATAGTTCGATATTACAAAGAAAATAAAATATGTGAGAATTCATTTAATTTTAGTTTGGTCACAGTTGCAGATATTCATAAAATTTTGATAAATTTGAAAAAATCTTCCCCTGGTGCTGATACCTTGAGTTTAAATCTAATTAAGTTGTGTTGTCCCCATGTTTTAAAGTATTTAGTACACATAGTTAATAGTATGTTTCTGGACTCCAGGTTTCCTATATTATGGAAAAATGCGGTTGTGATTCCTATACCTAAAAATAATGATCCGAAACAAATATCGGATTTAAGGCCGATTAGCATTTTACCCTGTCTATCTAAAGTTGCCGAAAAAGTAATGGAGAATCAAATTCGCAATTTCTTAGAAATTAATTATATTCTTCCATCGATTCAGTCTGGATTTCGAGCAGGATACAGCTGTGCTACAGCACTAATGCATATCACCGACGACATTATTCAAGCTGTGGATGAAAGGAAAAATACTGCGATGGTATTACTAGATTTTAGTAAAGCCTTTGATACTATTAACTATCAAGTACTGTTATCTATTCTTGAATCATGTGGGTTTCAAAATGAAGCCAATTCACTAATTCAATCATACTTGCAGGATCGCACACAGGTTGTAAGGTTATGGGACAAATTATCTAAACCTAGGCAAATTTCTTCTGGTGTTCCGCAGGGTTCCATTTTAGGGCCTGTTTTATTTAGTATTTATACCAGCCAGTTTGTTAAATTTATCAAGTACTGTTCTATTCACATGTATGCTGATGATATTCAACTGTATTATTCATTTAATTCCTCGAATTATGAAGCAGCCAGTGTCAAAATTAATACTGACCTACAAAGGATTTACGATACTTCTAAAAATCACCAGTTGGTTTTGAATCCCACTAAATCTGCTGCGATTTTATTTGGACATAAGCGTACTGTTTCTAATTTGGAAAATTTAAAACAACTTGAAATAATGGGCTCACCAATAACAATATCTGAAAGTGTCAAAAATTTAGGACTAACTCTTGATCGTTCACTTAGGTTTAGAGATCAAGTCAGTAAACTTATACAACGGTCATACAATGCTTTGAGACTTCTGTATCCTCATAGGAGTTATATTGACTATAATACAAAGAAAATGCTATGCGAAACTTTAGTGTTAAGCCACTTCAACTACTGTGCACCCGTCTATGGGCCTTGTTTAGACCTGATTTCTAAAAATCGCATTCAACGCGTACAAAATTCATGTATTCGTTTTGTATATGGTATAAGAAAATTTGAACATGTTTCACATAAACTTATAGATATACAATGGTTAAACATGGCAAACCGCAGACTTTTTCATTTACATTGCTTTTTTCATAAACTTGTGTTGACAAAAACTCCTCCGTACCTATATAATAAGATTACATTTCGAAACGATGTTCATGCTATAAATATTCGTTCTAAAGGTCTGCTTTCGCCACCATGTCATAATACTGCATTCTATGAAAGGGGTTTTAGGTATAACATATACAGAATCTACAACAAATTTTCTTCGGAAGTGGCATCATTAAGCATAAATAAATTTAGATCTTTCATAAAAAGTAAGTTATTTGCTGACCAGAATCTAATATTAAATATTTGACTCTCCCCTACCTCCATCGGTTTACTGAAAGATGTTTTTTTTTTTATTATTATTTATTTTTTATTCTGTATTTTATGGAGTATTTATGAATTCTGTGTCATTTTCTTTTCTTTTTTATTTTATCGTAGTTTATACACTTGTATCATCCTGTTTTTGTAGTATGTTTCCTCAGTTTGATATATGTATAAATGATAAATGAAAGCAAGGGTTAAGTGGTAGAGCACACGTAGTGTGAACTTCCCCTTGGGATTTCCAATATAATAATTTGTTTTTTTTTTATATCTTGTTACATGTTCTTTGGTTTGGAAATAAAGACTATTATTATTATTATTATTATTATTAACCCTAATAAATAATTTCTAATTCAAAATATTGAAAACGGTCCCAGGACTTCTGTGACGTCGAACCACTCTATTAGCTCGACCCGACGACTCGATGCCCTATCAACTATTGAAATTTCTTAGTAAATATTACGAGGAAAAACATATAATATTTTGGAAAGTAAAAATGAATTTGCAGAAAGTCTTGGTCAATAAGAATGATCAAAGAGAAACCAAACAACCAGCCACGGCCGTCTTCAACTAACGTAGTTGAAGACGTCGTGACCCAGCGGTTTATGTGCCTTCAGCAAAGATCCTAAAAGATAAAACAGGCTCCAAGTAGCTTCCGATATTATAAGGAGACCTTCATAAAGTGCTTAGGCGAAGCAAAGCCAACAAAAAGTACTTAGGCGAGGCAGAGCCAGTGATAAAGACGCCAAAGTACTCATACTCGAACTGCTCAAAAACATTCTAGTGCAGAAAAGGCTCAATTGTAAAACCAGTGCCATACCGAGGTTATAGCCGAATAAATTAAAGCATGGACTATTAGGCAGAACATCTCGCCATTAATGAAGAATGACCAACCAGACCAATGGGCTCTCTTCCAGCCATCAGATAGTGCCATGAGAGAGATGTCGCACAATTCTGTTCACCCTCAGAAGGAGAGAGCCCAAGCAACATCTGTGAAATATTAAGATTTCAGTAATAAAGCTGGTCGTTTCCAAATTAGAAGTCTAGAAAAAATAAAGCCGCGACAATTATTACTTTTAATGTTTGCATTACATTTTGCATCATTTTATTTTTGGTTGAACTCTCAATGTTTCCAGTTGGAATAGGTCTGTATCTTTGAAGATACAGGACAAAGGATAAAAGCTCATGTATAATAATTAATAAGATGTTTTTTAATATTCTATTTATTTTTTTTATTTTCCATTAAAATGCTTTATCATAATATTTATTAATCCTCAAATATGAAATAACACCTAAGTTATTTAAGCAACCCCTAGCCATACTCCAACCAATCTGTCTATTTCTTGTTTAGCCGCTATAAGTTGTGGCGGTTGATAACCTGTATCAAGCGTATCGGCACAGTGAGAAGTTCCTAGAAATAAATCGAAAGAGTAAGGTTAGCAACTGAAATATACTTCATGGAATTCTAACCTTCCACAAATATGGCCGAAATGTCTGGATTTTGGGATTCTGTTATACCAAGAGGGTAAAAGGGATCGAAAGATCCATGAACGAAAACCACATTTGTTACGTCGATGTCAGTTCCGCCGTATTTAGCATTTGTTTGATCGACATTATCTTCGACATAAGTCCTATTGAATTCTGCGCCGAATACGTCGGGACACATACGTACTAGAAAATCTATGGACGACCCTTTTCCAAAAACTTTGTCTTCTCTCGCCGATGGCTGGAACCAGCCGAATTCATTGCATTGTTGGAACATCCACTGACGATCTGAAATTAACAAATGATAAATATGCCTTCACTAGAGATATATCATTGTTAATATAATATCAATTTGTAATTACATAAAACTGCAAGTCAAGCTATTCATCACAGATTCTCTTTCGATATAGCATCAAAAGATGGTTCTTTCGAAGCTGAATCTACCGCCAGAAAGATGGGAAGAAGTAGTGCCTAGAGACTGACAATACTTTGAAATATAATAATGTGCATAATAAAGACTTGAATTTACAAAAAAATCCCTCAAAACTAATGTACATTTCATGTTTTCCATATAGTTAAAAAATAAATAGTTCCGGTTCGGTATTATCAATTTTCTTGGTGGCAAAATTGCTTTGGATGAGTTGTTACTGTCAACTAGTACATCAACTACTATGGTACAAGATGCGTTTTTTTTAACATGATTTTAAATTTTGCACAAGCATAGAAGAAAGATAAATTAGAGTACTTATTGAGTTTTTTTGCGCACCTATGGTTCAAATATATTTCTTTTTAGATCGATTTAAGATAACGAAATATTGACTTCTGAAATTCGAATTGGAGAATATTAGTATTTTATTTACCCTTGTAAATATGAAATACGAATTGCAAAAATTTCTTTTCGAGAAAAAGAAACATGGTAGAGGAGGGAGACATCTTATGTTATACAGGGTGCCCTATATAAAACTTTCCACCTGAACATTTCGTTCAATTCCAAAAACACGTCGATTTTTAATTTGAGGGGGACATCGACATACATCATTACTTATTTTGTAGTTGCCACCCCTTCGTAGATCGAGGTATCAATTTGAAATCAAATGGCACTACAGGGCGTGTGATACATCGCTTGAAAGCTCTTTTGATACTGACTTTGAATCCGTAAAAAATATATAATAATCGTTACTCGTTTTCAAGAAAAAAACGTTGAAATTAAATTTTTGGAATTTTGTATTTTTACATTTAAAATTGTTGTTTATTTTAATTTATACCATGTGTTAACCACTGAAAAGATTTTCATACATCAAAACATTAATTATTAAACTGCAAAAAGGTTTCTATTTCTGATGATAAAAACAATAATAAACGCAATGTAAAGAAGTTCTCATCATATTTTTTTATGAATTCCATTGCATTCCATTCTATTTTACCTCTTTGTTTAATATCATTTTATCGGAAATTGTTGAAACCATTTTCAATTGCATCAAATCTCACATTCGGCTTACAATCAAAGTGTAACTTTTACATTTATCAATTTTTCATTATGGTTTATTCGTTAGCTAAAAGAGTTGAAATAATTTTTTTTACGGGAAACAGAATGAATGTACTAGAGAAACTGGTCGAATTTTCAATAAGTTGCATCCTGATCACCAAACAAGTCATACGTACGTTAGCCAGATTGTTAAGAAATTTCGAGAAACTGGGTCCGTAGCAAATCTTAAAACCAATCCTCCTAACGAATTAATGAAAGTAGGAATTTTGGGTGAACTGACAATGAATCCACACCAATCCGTGCGATCGTTAGAGCGTACTACAGGGATCCCTAAATCGAACGTTCATCGGATTTTGCAAAAACATAAATGGCATCCGTACAAAATACATCTTGTGCATTATTTGAACGAGGATGATCCGGATCGCAGAATAGAATTTTGTGATATCATGTCTAATAAAATTACAGAAAATCGAAATATACTTTACAATATCTGTTTCAGTGCTGAGTGTACCTACGTTTTTTCTCAATGGTACAATGAATAGGCATAATATTCGTTATTGGTCGGGTAAAAACCCTCATTGTGTTAAGGAATCGCACACTCAGTATCCAGAAAAGCTGAACGTCTGGGCAGGAATATTGGGTAATCACATTAGTTAGTTCATTTTCTTAGATAGCACTTTGACTGAAGCCAGCTATTTACGTTTGTTGGAAGATCATATTGATCCCATGATCACAGAAATTCTGGTGAATGATGATCAGCTGGATGAAAATCTTGTGACGTTCCAACAAGACGGAGCTCCACGCCATTTTCAGCGACGAGTTCGGGCTTATTTGGGTCAGAATTTTCCAGAACTATGGATATGTAGGCGTGGGACTATAGAATGGCCAGCTTAGTCTTCCGATTTGAGTCCAAATGACTTTTTTCTCTGGGAACATCTCAAATCAGTAGTTTTTGTAAGACAACCCGAAAATCTTGAAGATTTAAGACAACGTATTGTAAACGAATGTAGGAATTTAACTCCAGAGGTTTTTGCAAATGTAAGGAGATATTTCATAGACAGGCTCCATATTTGCCAAAAACAACTGGGTGCACAATTATTATAAACATTTTTAAATGTAAAAATACAAAATTCCAAAAATTTAATTTCAATGATTTTTTCTTGAAAACGCATAATGATTTCTTTTATTATTTTTTTTAAGGATTCAAAGTCAGTATCAAATCAGCTTTTAAACCATGTATCACACGCTCTGTAGTACCATTTGAAATTTCGATCTACGAAGGGTTGGCAACTGCAAAATAAGTAATGATGTAAGTCGATGTCCTCCTCAAATTAAAAGTCGACGTGTTTTTGAAATTTTTTCAAAACTTCATGTTAAACGAAATGTTCAGGTGGCTGTATATTTAATTTAAATTGTTTGTTGTCTATTTTTAATTGAATGTGACTAGTAATAATATGTATTATCGGTTATAGTTCTTTTTAGTTTAAGATAAACTAGATCTACATATAAAAGTCAACGACTACTGGATATAGCGTAGTGATTGTGGAACAACGAAGCAATATTTTTTATCACCATTTTAAATATGTTTTAGCGAGAAACTTTTTATTTGGCACATGTCTTTGTTTATTTCAATGTAATATATTTGTTTAATATGTATAAAAAATATCCCCACCCCGTGATCTTCCTTGATTCCGTGATCATTTATACTAATATGCACGCCAATTCTGAAGAATCTTTATCTCCTGTAAAATTTTGATTTCTCCTACGGATTTTGAGTAAAATAAATGAGTACATCTTCAACAGCAAATAACAGGTTGTTCGAGAATTGCGGTTTTATAGGTGGATACTATGACTTCAATAATTCCTAAAGATGTTTTCTTATATGATTAGAGCAGGCATAATATTCATAAGGAGCATTTTAGGGACCATGTTCTTATAAACTTTTCCATACTAGTATGTGTATAATTGCTTCTTCAAATATAAAAAGAGAATTCTTAACCACTTTGTATTTTATAAACTGTGGTCGGAACAGTGATTTAACTTCTTCAAATGTGAAGAGATTAATTGGAAAATTCAGGGAGGCTGCACCAATTACTGATATTCAACACATGGCCGTCCTTTAACAAGTCGCTCAACATAAAACATCAAAGCAGTTCGTGAGAGTGTTGCTGAGAGTCCAGGAACGTCAATTCAGCACCGTGATCAAGGTGGTCAAGAATTCGATATATTGATAAGCTGTCTACAGTGTATTATTACGAAAGATTTGCATCTTCATGCTTATAAGGTTCAATTTACTTAAGAACTGAGCCTACTGGCCACACAGGGTGAAGAGAGTTCGTCGAATGAATTATGGAACAACAAGTGGATGCTAATTTTTCGAACAAAATTATCTTCAGCGATGAGGGTCATTTTCATCTTGATGGCTTCGTTAATCGACGAAATTGTCGCATTTGGGGTTCAGAAAATTCACGAATGATTGTTGAGAAACAAAATAAATGTATCCACAACTTGTCACTGTTTGGTGCGGATTTTGGGCTAAAGACATCATTGGACCATTCTTTTTCGGTTAATGGTGCTCTCTACCGCGACATCATAATCCAGTTTTTTGTACCTAAATTACAAGATGTAGACGACATGTGGTTTCAACAAAACCATGCTATATGCCATACCGAGAAAGACTTCTTTCTTGTCCGTGTAATTTACCGTTTTGGTGATCAAAATTGGTCGCCCAGATCACGCAATTTAACGCCGTTGGACTTTTTTCTTTGAGATTTTTGAAGTATAAGGTTTATGCCAACAAGCCCACGACCATCCACGCTTTGAAGGAGGAAATTGGGCGCTGTTTCAACAAAATTCAGCCGCATGTATACAAAACGGTAATAGAAAATTTTAACAAAAGAGTGTATATGTGCCAACAAACCTGTGTCCGATATATTTTTAGTTGAAAACCTGTGGTTTCTATAAAAATTACTACTTGCATAATTTTTGAGACATCGTTTATATTCAAATAAACTACTACGACGTTTTTAACTAAAACAATTTTTTGATATTACAAAATGTTGCTTCTTGGTGCAAAATTCGGTAGACCATATCTCAGTAGGTGATGATTTTTATAAGTTGGTCTAAATCGTCTTATTTTGATCAAGAAAGAATGTGGTTGGGTGGTGTCCAATAGAGGGCATTCTGATATTAAATTAAAATTACCCCATTATACTTACCACCTGTAAATGCATAAATGTATTGCCAGTATTGCACATTGCTCCAGTAATTATTTTGTATACAATTTACATCACCATTAGTTAATGAAAGCACCTCAGAGAGACGCATTATCTCGCTTCCTCTACTTTCATTGGTCATGATTTTGCATAGATCATTAAGAGAAGTAGCCGCCATCCCATTGACCTGCGCTATCGAAGAGAAGGCACGAGCTATGTTATTATAAAAGCTTTCAACGTTGACATCGTCGCTTTCAAGTCCCTCAATAGGTTCACATACGTTGAATAAACTGGTAACGGTTAGGTTTGAGGTAGAATTGTTTAATATCTCCTCAACTTGGCTCATGGCCGACTTAAGACTGTCGACGCACTGCTCACTAACGTAGTTCAAGTCGTCAACAACTACTTGATAGTATTCTAAAAAGTAAAAAGAGTATTATGATCGCAAGAGTAATAATAATATAAGTAGTACATAATAATAATATAATAATAAATAATAATTAATTTTAAAAATATATGAAATATATTATTTTTGCCCCGCTGTGTTGCTGGTCTCCAGGCATCCGTGGGCTTCTAATAGCCTACGGTACAGCTCCTTGTATGTAACAATGCGAGAGCAATTTTTAGATATAATTTTTTAAAATTTTGAACCGTAAACATACCTTTTAATATTTCTCGAAACGGGATTACGTTTGGAGGTCCATCTTTCTCCTCCTTCACCTCCTCCTCTTTATTTGTTTTAATCTTTAGTATATCCCNATCTCTCTACAGAAAGGGTGGGGGAAACCCCTAATGTCTGATTAGAAAAATGCATTCTTTTAAGATAGGCTTATCAAAAGCCCATAGTGTTATACCTCGTTGGAAAGGTCTTCATGCTTTATTTCATGGTGAATACGTAATGTAATTTACCTCAATATGGAAACCTATAAATGACGTCATTTCAAACGATGCAGTTTTAAGGATTTTCCCCAAAAATTTTAAATACAATGCTATAGTTTTCTTTCCATAAATGAATTCAGCACAAAAAATTGACGAATATCGTATAAGTTTGAAATTTTTAACGAGAGTTGTTTATTTATTGGCCTAAGTTAATATATATTTTTAACTGCTTAGTCGTTGAGCTCCTATAGACGATGTAAGCTGAGTACGGTGTGGCATCGGTATGTTTAATATCAAATTGTATGGAAAATGTATAGATGGGGAAGTTTAGCGCACAGATGCTGAGACACACTAAAGACTGCGTTTATATAAATGGTTTGTTATTGCAGAGAATCCAGAGAATCCCTCGTAGTTCGAAAACTACTTAACACTGTTCGAAAATTGTTTCTGCTCGAATACTTCTCTTAGCGATTTTCTAAACTAATCATTACATATTTGAATGAAAAACCATACCACTAATAATAGCTTAACTGGAATATGGAACAAACTTACAATTAAACAAATATACAGGGTGGGTCACCAGTAACGCCTCGGTCGCTAGGGACCAAACGGCAAATGTTACAGAAACCTGTTTAGGTGGGTATGTGTAGGTTGATTGCGGCTACATTTTAAAAATATTTTGAAATATACAGGGTCTGCATATCAAAGTTATGTATTCTTAAATGGAACAGCCTGTATTTTACTGCATTTTTTAAAGCACCATAAAAAACTAGGTGATCTTTATTAAAGGTTCTGCATTCCTAGAAATTTCAATTTTAGTGAAAATGCAGGCTTAGCGTAAAAATTTAATATTTGCAATAAAAAAATAATTTTAAGGAAGCAGCTTTGGAGAGTGTATTTTAGATCCTTGAAGTTATATTATTATATTTGTCGTCACTTAGTATTATACAGGGTGTTCAAAAAACTCCTGAATACTTCTCTCAACTTTAAACAGCAAAAACTTTTTTATTTTAAATGGGATACCCAGTAAAGTTTTACTTTGGGAGTTAGGAAATTTAAAACTCTTTCAAACTGTGATACCTATCTTTAACGGTATTGGAGATATGTATGCCGTTTCGTTTTTTATCGAATTTTTTTGTAAGATGTATCNACATTTTTCATATTCAGTGAGAAATTATATAAATCGATAATTAAGTAATAAATGAGTAGGTAAGAATGGTCCATGTCAGTGGCTACCACAGGTGTCCAAACCTCTCGTAATAGACTTCTTTGTTTCGGGCTGTATAAATATATATCTTGTACACAGTGTTCCACCTACTACTTGCGATGATATGAAGAAAAGGATTAGATATATCACCCCAAATAAATATTCTAAGGAATGTGAGAATATCATTTGAAGATAGAATAAGATGCTGTATTCAAGAGAAAGGTTATCAATTCGAACATCTATTAAAATTTTTCTTTGTTTCTTCTAAAAGTAAAATTTTCTTTAATAAATATTTTTCATGTTCATAAATAATTCAGTAACTTACTAAAAACATATTTATACAAAATTAATAACTTTTTAATTATTCTACTTATAAAATAATATTTTTTATTAGAAAACTTTTTTGAATGTTAAAAGGAAATATTACTTTTAGAAGAAACAAACAAAAATTTTAATTGATGTTCGAATTGATAACCATTCTCTTAAATACAGCACCTTATTTTATCTTCAAATGATATATTCACACAAATACATCTCTAATCTATCCCTTCAATATCATCGCAAGTAATAGGTGGAACATTGTGTACAAGATTTTTTATATAGCTCGCAACAAAGAAGTCCATTACTATGAGATCTGGACACCTACGTGGTCACTGACATGCACCATTCCTACTTATCCATTTATTACTAACTTTTCGAATTAAATCATTTCTCACGGAATATGAAAAATTTGCAGGTGCGCCATCTAATTGCATCCTCATTTTTCTCAATATATTTAAAGAGACGTCGTCAAGAAGAACAAAAACCAATTCAATAAAGACCTCGATGAAGACACGTGGATACATCTTACAAAAAAAAAATCGATAAAAACGAAACGGCACAAATATCTCCAATACTATTAGAGATATGTTTAGGGAACCTATAACAGTTTGAAAGAGTTTTAAATTTCCTAACTCCCAAAGTAAAAATATACTAGGTGTCCCATTTAAAATAACCAAGTTATGCTGTTTAATGTTGGGAAGTATTCAACAGTTATTTGAATACCCTGTACAATACTAAGTGACGATAAATATAATAATTTATAACTTCAAGGATCTAAAATACACTCTCCAAAGCTACTTACTTCCTTAAAACTATTTTTTTATTGCTAATATTAAATTTTTACGCTATGCCTGCATTTTCACTGAAATTGAAACATCTCACAAACTGTATGTCCTAGGTATGCAGAACCTTTAATAAAGTTCACCTATTTTTTTAAGGTGCTTTTTAAAATGTAACTTTAATGAACCTACCCATATCCACAGTTTATATAACATATGTTATATAAACAGGTTTATATAACATTTGCCATTTGGACCCTAGCGACCGAGGTGTTATTGGTGGCCCACCCTGCATAAGATAACTCCTAGAGTTAGTGTAATGTAGAACCAAATACAAGGTCGGAAAGTTCCCATGGTTCATCGGCCGTTACGTGAGAGCGATAAAGTAAGTCATAGAATAAGAAGTGGATCTTATTTCTGGAAGGGCGAAATGGGCGGTGACTATTAGACGCCTTTATTATAGCCATCTTTCTCTATCACACGGATTTCTATGACTTTCTTTATCGCTCTCACGTAACGGCCATGAACCATGGGGACTTTCCGACCCTGTATAAGTATCATGCATAATTGGTTAAAATAAATCTACATGCGTCCTTTTTTCAATATAGTACAGGTATATAACCTTTATCTTGTGTTTATAATATTTAACATTGTCTTCCGTTTTTTCTTTTCCATTTAAATTACCTGGGCGCATATATCAAACTGGTGATTTGATGATAGTAAGCTAATTGTTTTGATAGTCAACGAACCGTATGAAATTGGTTTGAAATTCTGCAACAGCATCTAAGTATCGATCAAAGTTTGAGATTAACTCTACTTGTACGTTAAATTCAAATTACACATGCTCCTGACAGTCACTGTAGAAACAAACCTGTAGTTTAATACCAAATATACTGATATGACGTCGTGACGTAATCAACATATTACGTCTGTGACGTCTATAGGAGACTAACGACTTAACCGCAAGTTAATTTATTCAAGGCTTTGTTTCTTTATTTCTTGAATAAATATTTAACTATATCGGTTTTAATTATTTTAATACCCTCGCTATAAAATATTTTATCTGCTCCCACTGTACATAGTAAATAGAATGTTGTTTTGTTTTGTTTNAGTCATAGAATAAGAAGTGGATCTTATTTCTGGAAGGGCGAAATGGGCGGTGACTATTAGACGCCTTTATTATAGCCATCTTTCTCTATCACACGGATTTCTATGACTTTCTTTATCGCTCTCACGTAACGGCCATGAACCATGGGGACTTTCCGACCCTGTATAAGTATCATGCATAATTGGTTAAAATAAATCTACATGCGTCCTTTTTTCAATATAGTACAGGTATATAACCTTTATCTTGTGTTTATAATATTTAACATTGTCTTCCGTTTTTTCTTTTCCATTTAAATTACCTGGGCGCATATATCAAACTGGTGATTTGATGATAGTAAGCTAATTGTTTTGATAGTCAACGAACCGTATGAAATTGGTTTGAAATTCTGCAACAGCATCTAAGTATCGATCAAAGTTTGAGATTAACTCTACTTGTACGTTAAATTCAAATTACACATGCTCCTGACAGTCACTGTAGAAACAAACCTGTAGTTTAATACCAAATATACTGATATGACGTCGTGACGTAATCAACATATTACGTCTGTGACGTCTATAGGAGACTAACGACTTAACCGCAAGTTAATTTATTCAAGGCTTTGTTTCTTTATTTCTTGAATAAATATTTAACTATATCGGTTTTAATTATTTTAATACCCTAGCTATAAAATATTTTATCTGCTCCCACTGTACATAGTAAATAGAATGTTGTTTTGTTTTGTTTTTAAGGAGGTAAGTGGATTTTACCGTAGAAGTGGACGTTGCTATGGACAACGGGAGGTAAGTGAGATAATTTACCTTCCTAGGGAAAGAAGCAATTACGAGTTATAAATGCACACTTTATGAACAACTAAATAGAAATATTAGATGAATATTACATCCTATTAATTATTATGAATGAATATTTATAGTAATTGTACAGTTATTACATTTAATAACATTTATAAAATCGCGTTTACTAATTATCTCATTTTACTCAAAATGATTTGACCGCTCCATTTCAGTCACCGGAGGCTCAATATTCTCTGACTGTTCCATTAAAACAGCATAATGCGACGTCCTCCTAAAACCTGGAGTTGAAGCGTCATTGTAAATAATCCTTTTGGCTATTTCAATTTTGTTACTTAAACTGTCAGCAACATAACTTTCCGCAATTGTGGCTGATTTCCACCCACCATGTCTCTTGATTGCTAATACATCAACTCCTGTATTAGCCAGTAACGTTACCGATGTTCTTCGAAATGAATGGACTGTATATGTTTCAGGATGTTCTAATTTCAAAAACTATGCTAAAACTATCTTATTAGGAATCATAGAAAGGGTATTCTTGCCGACTGCGACTGGTTAGTTGTAACATCTACCTGCTTGATAGCGCATAAAAAAACGTGAAATTTCAGAATCTGGAATTGTAACTACAATAATGTCATCGAAATTTTTGAAATTGACGTTATCCAAAGTAATTTTGCATAACTCATCAGAACGGCATGCTCCTGCAATGCCGTCACTACCTTCATCTCTTGTAAAAACGTTTGATTTTTTAGATGTAGGTATAGCCATCATTCTTCATTCATTTCAAAAATGCTCTCAGTTTGGGGTATTTTGATATATCCAGGTTCTCCTCTATGAAAATAGTTGACTTAATCATTGACTATTCACTCCATAAACTCGCCGATAACTTTAAAGTTCTTGTCTTCTCCATGAAATATGCTAGCAGTGACATTTCAGAAACACCAGTATTTTTGTTCTGGCACAATTCTTTGAAATTTCTATACGCTCGTCCGTAGCTCACTTTCGATTTCTCGAATAAAAATTCGCAGGTAGCAATTGCTGCACTTTCTATTTGAAAATCACTCATTTAGAAATAATAAATCAAAACCAGCAAAATTGCAACTTTTATGTATCTTTGTTTATAAACACCTTAGAAACGACAAAATCCAAACAACCAAGGCGACTTTGTAAGATTTCGAATAATGAAAAAATGACTTGATTAAGAAATGTCAAAAAATAAAACCTAATCTTTATTTTATGAACCTAAAAAACTATGGGAGCAGATAAAATGTTATACACCACGCAGCAGTTAAGTATAATTTACCAATCTCGGACTCTATTGCCAGCCCTCGCTCCGCTCGGGCGCAAAATCGTCGCCGACTGGTAAATAATACTTACCCCGTTTATGGTGTAAATAACTATTGATATTCAGTCGTGTTAATAATTTCAATAAACTTTCAATACTTACCGGTGAAATCTACCTTTGCAAAAAGTGGGGCACTTGAAGATACAGCTCCCTGAACCAAATCGGGATGTTTTAGTCTCATCCAAGCAGCTAGAGAGCCGGAATAGGAGCCACCGTAGACGATCCATTTAACGTCATCGGCTAATTCATACTCTTTGTTTATTAATTTGATAAAGTTTGCTGCATCGGCCAACGCTTGGTCGCTTGTAAGATAACGGAGATGTTCCGTGGACAAATCACTGAAATATATGGTTTTTTAAAACATTTTCTACCAATAGCTGGTTATTTTATCATCGAGAACTTACGAAAATGGTTGGCTGTTCCCGTAAAACCTGTGTTCCAACTGGATTAGTAAGGCGCCATATTTTTTTGCACTCTTCGTCCAGCTCCCATACAGAACATAATTTTCATTAATGGCATTCTCTCCTCCCATTTGTAAGAAGACGACATTCTTCTTGGTTTTATTGAAAAATTCAGTATTTTCATAGTAAAACTGAAAATGTGTTAAACCTTTTCAAGTTGCTGGAAAAATGTCATAGTTTGTTTCAGATTTTAAAATGGTGAATCGCAAGTCGAAAACTATAGGTCATTATCTATTTATTATTCCTATTTGTCTAGTCTGTGAATCAGGAGAGATATAACTTACAAAGCGTAACTGCTACTCAATTCATATTCTTTTAATACAGCCAAACTGGTGAAGAGCGATCTATTAATCTGTAAGTGTTATGGAAACATGACTAGTATCGCTTTAAACGAATCTGAGCAATAACTACTCCGCGGACTAAATCCCCGACCAGCATCTTATGCCGTGTCTATATGTCTGGTAATTCAACAGTCGAATTATCTTAACTATATACTAAATATTGCGTCTACTTATACACTTATATAGGTTATACCGTTCTTACACTCCATAGACATCAAAACAGCTAGATCATTCATCGGCCGTCTCACCAATGATTTACTAATAAGAACTAATAGGTTCAAACCCGATTTATATCGAGAAATGATCTTCACTGTTTGTGGGTATAAATCAATGCTGGTCAGGGCATCAGTAACTTTTATACAGTGTTATTTTTTAAAACCTTATTTAAAGTGATAGACTAGTACTTCCAAATGCAAAGTTGTAGGAAATGACTCGAATAAGAAAAATTTACAAATATTCATTAAATGGTATGCGAATTATCTTTCATATATCAATATCAAGTTAAAAGGTGCTAATTATTAATTCACAGCCACACACAAAAAAAAAGTTGGGTATACTTTTTATGCAACATATATTTTTCGTAGTAATTTGGCCTCCTGAACACGAATCTGGGGTCAGAATTGGCCCATCACGTCACAATTTTTTCCTAACCTCAAAAAACTTGTGAAAAATGGTGAAAACTAATGAAAATTATTGAGAAAATTTGGAAAAAAAATTATTTCCACATCAAATAGTACATTTTTATGTAAAAGACTCTGCTGAATTCAAATCCACTGTCAGAATTGAGCTAGAACGTGTGGTTTTTTTTTCTAACCTCAAAAAACTGAGCAGGAATCGCTATTTTCAAATTCTGAGCGGATTTTGACCAGATTTTGTATAAATAATAATAATAATAAAGGGGTTTTTTGGGTCGCTGATTACGAATATGAATTCACATTGTAAAAATTCAAGATGGCTGATCCAATATGGCGGGTGTACTTTTTTGAAATCCACCGATTGCAGTAAAATTTGGCATTAAGCACACATCTGGAGCCAGATTTTCATAAATCAAGGTAAAATTTGCATCTTGAATTTTTACAATGTGAATTCATATTCGTAATCAGCGACCCAAAAAATCCCTTTATACAAAATCTGGTCAAAATCCGCTCAGAATTTGAAAATAGCGATTCCTGCTCGGTTTTTTGAGGTTAGAAAAAAAACCACACGTTCTAGCTCAATTCTGACAGTGGATTTGAATTCAGCACTGTCTTTTAAATAAAAATGTACTATTTGATGTGGAAATAATTTTTTTCCAAATTTTCCCAGTAAATTTTCATCAATTTTTACTATTTTTCACAAGTTTTTTGAGGTTAAGAAAAAATTGTGACGTGATGGGCCAATTCTGACCCCAGATTCGTGTTCAGCAGGCCAAATTACTACGAAAAATATATGTCGCATAAAAAGTATACCCAACTTTTTTTTTGTGTGTGGCTGTGTTATTTATTATTATATTACAATTTTTACCTGGGTGAAAGTGGTTGTGTCTTCTGAATCGAAATGATCTAGCTTTTGAGTAACATTTTTCAAATAGGCCTGACTGTTTGCTCTTCTAGGACCAGTTGGAAGTGGAGGACGGTGTGTTAAGAACAGAGAAAACTGACTCATCGAAAGAACACAGTTGAAGGACAATAATGCAAGAACTGCTAAAATTGCCTTCATTTTTACAGATTTTGTACCTAATAATGTCTACTACACCTAGCTACTACACCTATGCAGCTAATTGAGGTGGTATATATATTGTTGGAATTTTTTCATTTTGAAAATTCTAAAGTGACACTATCTTTATATTTTTCTCAGACTTATCTATTTGAAAAATAAAAGAAGTTGAAAACACTTGTAATTTGTATTTACTTATTTCAAATGTGTGCAGTGACGGAAAAAAATTATTTGTAAAGGACAATTTCATTTCATTACTACACAAATTGAAGAATTGCTTAAAATTTTAATAGAAAACTTCTTGTTTTAAATGCATTGTAATATATTCTTTAAATATTTTAATGGAACTTGTCGGAAATTTACAATATATAGATTAGATCTTCAGTTTTAATTTCTTTAAATCAAGTAATCTCAAGTATAAGAGTTAAAAGGACTTTGATAAACATAAAATTCATAAAAAAAAAATAGTAGTAGTAGTAGTATTCCATAAGTGTTTACAGTTTAAATTTTTAAACTAATATAAAGTATAGTGTTTACGTATTATAACAAGATGGTAAATATAAATTTAAGAAATTCTTTATCAGGACAGGTAGAAATTAGTAAACTAAATTAACTTCTATGTTCCATCTCCACATTATTATTTGAATAATTCAATTATAAACAAATATTTAGTATATTCAAAACAACTTCAAAAAATCTAGTTTAAGTACAAAAACCGCTTCCCGTTCTTCGCCTTTCTTCAAACTATTTGGATATTTGACTTATTATAGATCGACTAATTTTCTGGTCTGGATACTAATGGTGAAATTGCAGAAATATTCATGTAAGGTTCTTAGCATGTAAATTTTTGTAAATACATTATGTTAATAGAATTAATTGCATGTTTTTTTTCTCATCCTTTGAAATAATAATTTTTCATAATTTTGAAAAATTAAAACATAGACATTTAATTATTAAAAAATTCAATTAATAAGCAGGTGAATGAAATAATTATATTACCACTTAACCACTGAAACTGTGACAGCTTGAAATAAAATTTAATTAAGAAATGTTATAATCATTTTACTATTTTGTACATATGATTTCTCCACCTAGAAAAGTCAGTTTATTGTCCAAATCTCGCTGCATTCGATCGAATTTTTTGGATTGGTTTACAACACCGTATAAAAATATTATATATATTTAATATTGTACAATTATGTGCAAGATTAATTTATGGAATTTTTCGGGGAGATAAATAGATTAAAAGCAAATATTTTAATTTTAGTAAATCAAGTAATTTAAAGTGATTTTTATAAAATAAATATAAAAGTAATGATTTATGTTTTGAAACTAAAATAGAATACATTATTTACTTATGGTAATGAGATAGTAAACATAAAAAATATATGTATCACTATAGAAATTTATAGAGATAGTACCTAAATTAAATTTGTGTACGTAAGTATTCCAAGCTAACATAGGAGTAACATTTACACAATTACTAAATTATTAACTTAAAAATATTATAGAATATGTTTGAATTCAGTCAAATCATTCGAAATGAAACAACGACAATAGACTGTGCAAAGATGATCAAGGCGTCAAAGAAAATATAGTAAAGTTAGATATTTACATGTAAATGGAACGGAAGATAAAATAAAGGAAAAATATAACATAATTCAATAGAAAATAAATCAAATGGAGGGCTAAAGATGAAGTGTAGACACTAAGTCATCAAAAATTCAGAGCTAAAGATAAATAGGTTATTAAATAATACTGTCTTATTTAATAATTTGTTGTCAACGTTTTTGCTGTTAATTTTCCCAAAACGCAAAAAGTTTAATTCAATCTTTCATTAAATGTGCGACATGTCGTCTTCAGAACCTTGTTCCATTCGCCATGAATAAAGAATAAGTTTAAAATATCACTTTTCGAATAATTATTCACTTCATCCATTTTTAGGAACATAGAAACGTCAGTGAATCTTTTTTTGGTGCTTTGACAGGGCATAGCCTTTTGTTTTCATAGGTAACTATGAGTTTCTTACACGAAACATGATTTTTCGCATTTTAAACAGAAAAGTGGTGATAAATCAGAAACCATTAAGAATAACTATAGCAACCCTTGTATGTACTGACGTAGATTTTTCTAGTGAATCCAGAAATGCGAAAATATACAGTGTGTTCCATTAAAAAAAAATGACAACACACGTTTGAATTTCCTCGCGTTTGTCAATTAGTTTTTAGGGTCATGTATAAAACTGGCTAATTTGGAAAACATCGTAAGGAACCCCATGACTTCTACTTTCATTGACCTAAAAATAAAGGTTTTCGCTTGAACTGTTTCTGAGGTTGAAGCCAACAGTGCTGCATACAATTTTTTTTTAATTGCATTATCTTGAAAACTTATCTCTTAAAACATTAATTTTAAATATGGAAAAGTTTATACAAAGTGACCTTAAAATTTAACGTAGAATCCAAAAATGCACAGGGTGTTCCATTTAAACTACCAAAATTGGTTGCAACTTCCGGTATAAGCGGAAGTGCAACAGTTTCGAAAATATTTTCATTGAAAAGTTCATGGTCGGTAAAATGGTATTCGAATTTCCAACAAAATCCTATTATGGTAACTTCGCATCCTTCTAATGAACTAGTTCCGTGTATAACAGCTTACAGAGAACCTGTAAGAAATCACTACAAGGAAATCTTCAAAATAATACCTAAAGACAAGGAAAAGGAGGAATATCCGGCTACGACGTGTTTCATATACAATGGTATTGACAAGATAGATTGCATCTTAGGGAAACACAATATCTACCGTCTAACTATCTACTCCACCTTAAGGAAGACAGGTGAACCATCTATTCATTTTTTGAACAATAACACAAAATTTGCGAAGAACATAACTGATACTGGATACGGGGCAAACCTAACTAATACCTACCAGAATTCTTGTGCAAGAGAGAAGATTTTAAATTATTATGTTATGCAAAAAGTATTCAGAAATTACCATACAATTCAAAAATGGCATAATATAGAGGGTGTTCCATTAAAGAAATCAATGATGATTAGATTACATATGTTCTTCTCGAGACATCCTGTATATAATTTTCTTATGTCAAAAAATTCGAAACTAAAAATACTAATCGACGTGTCCGAGCGTTTTTTCACAAAATAATTACCTACCTGAATTTTAAACGAATTTGTTCCTTTCATCATGAACGCATTGTATTATTTCCTGCTAACCAACCTATACTTTCAAGCATATCAGTAAGTTGATTAATTTGATGCATTATCGATCTTTTCAACCTAGGACTCCTACAGCGGACGTCGATTTCCTCCAGCCTATAAATACTTTTATTACAAGACAAATTCATTACTTAAGTAATTCATTTTACGAGCGCCGTATTCTCAAAGATACGTCAAATTCCTTAACCTATGAGAAATTTATTTTTAGATGCTTAATTTTAACGCTACTCTTAGCCGCCTACATAATTACAAATTTAAATTTGTGATGTGATTTTGTTTCTTATGCAGTACGAAATATTAATCAACATATTTTCTTATCATATTTTATTTCGACAAATAGTAATAAAGTTAAAATTCTATCGACAAATATTTGAGCAACAAATTTAGCTTCTTAGCTACAATCAGTTTAGAGTTCATCCCATCTTTCAGGTCTTAACTTGAGAAAGTGAAAGGTTAACTTTTTGAACTTAAAAGTTAAATCGATACTTAACAGAAAAAAATATTAAGAATGTTACAGAAATTTGGTGTATCTTATGAATCTTCTCTTTGAGTAATTTATCAAAATGTTGCAGCATTATAGATTATACAACTAAAATATACAAAACAAAGAACTTTGCTGAAAGCAAAAAGCCAAGAGCTAAAAAATTCGATGATAGAACTTTCAATAATGCAAAAAATTACATCACTGAAACGAATGAGATAAATTAGAAATACTTTTTCTCATATAAAATACCTCAAAAGCTCTTCATTCTTAATTACGATATTCTGATACACTGTATCTGCAGTTGATAAGTAAATCTGATTTAAAAGTATGCAAAAAAATTAACAACCTCTTTTCCTTGCACATGTTAAACTAAAAAGTAATGTGATTTGATTTACTTTCCTAACAAAAACGTAGGAATTGGAAATTGCAAAATATAATCTCACATCACTACGAGTATTCGTCTAGGCTTAAAGGTCAACAACACTGCAAAATAATTAAAAATTTGTTACAGTTCGAGGAGTATGAACTTATTGAACTGATTCCGCTATTCAGCATTGTGGTCTCAACAGAATATATTACTTCTTGCAGATATGAATAACAGTGAATAAAGCAACAATTATTTAAACATTAACGTATTTTGAAAACAGAAATGGCTAATATGCATACGTTTAATGTACAATATTTTCTTTTAACTTATTTTTCAACTTTGAAGTTTTGTCTTAATTTTACAGAGCAATGAAGTGTGGCCGAGATATAATCTGCAAAGTATATCATGGCCAAGCAAATAAAATTTTTACTCGGAAGAAGTCCTATCCGCGAGATTATTGTAAAATTGTCTAAAGGAACATAATACAAGACATCTCTCATCTCGTGAGTCAAAAAATTTTATTAGCTAACTTTTCTATTTAAACAAATAAGTGACTTGAATTTTTCGCAAAATAATGTTTAGGACGTAAACTACGATTTCCCGTGAATTGCATTAAAAGATGTAGAAAATTAACGACTCACGAGCCCTTTAAAAAGAAGGTATTCGCTAAGTAAACTCTCCGGCGTCGCCGTCGGCGTGGTGATGGAGGAAGCTCGTCCAAGTGAGTGCGCGCGAGAAAAGTGAAATCCAAAGTTCAAATTAATTCGTGCTGTAAAATTTTGCAATATCTCGGCTTCTATTCATCGTAGAAACCCCAGAAAAAATGCATCTTTTATACTGAATTTTTTTAAATTTACAAAAATGTCACAAAAATTATTGTTGAAAGAAATATTAATTAAAATTTCTATTTCGGAATTATTTT